CTTTTGGTGTGTGTGTGTCATCTTGGTTCTCGTTAAGGACTGCCATCCTTCTGGAATTGATATTTGAATAGTGAACGGATGGAGGGCTTTTCAGTCTAGGACACTTTCTTTCAAAGACCAGATTATTCATGACGGCCATCCTTGTCCTTTAACCGTGCCATCAGTGTGCACGCTGAAAAAACTCTCGAGACTGCACTGAATCTCTTAGCAGAAGCCTACTGAACTGTGGTCCTCTCTCAACACTGAGGAGGCTAAAGTGCTCTATCAGCCTGCTCCAGGCCATGAATGGTGACACCTCCTCCCTCCTCAAAGACCCTGGAGGCCATCGAGCACTTCTCTTACCTCGGTAGCCACCTCTCTCACAGAACAAATGAGGAGGAGGAGATCCAGCACAGGATTTGGTGCACAACATCTCCATCAGGAGATTGCTTTGGTTTGATTTTACTGATCATAGAAGGACACCAGGATCCAGGTGTGCGATGCAGTCATCATCTCCACTCTCCTTTATGGATGCGAAACATGGGTGACCTACTGTCCTCATCTCAAGAGCTTTGGAGGCATCACTGGTGATACCTCTCTGAGTCCCCATCCCATCAGGTGGGTGGCCCGTGTCTGAAGAGAGCGAGAGGTTTGGAGGGATCTGGGGTGAGAGGAGAAAAGTCCCAGGAAGGATGGTGTAAAGAGTGTAGTCCCACAGAGAGGTAAGCACGGGTTCAAGTGAGGACAAAGGGCTGCAGTATACAGTAAAGACTTCTGTTTGGAGCTGGGCAGTCTGTGCTGTTTGGGATATTGGTACTGTTTCCAATAAGCTGACCAGTAAGAAGGAGCTCTTGGAGGCAGAGGTGTTGCAGATTGCCAAGGAAGCCAGGGAGAGAGAGGAGGCAGGGTCTCGAGCCAGAGGCTTGCCCCTTGAGAAGTCAGGCCAGGGCTGGCTTCGAGGACCCTGAAGGAGGGAGACTAGATAAAGCTTCTTCTTGGTAAATCCCAAAGCAGAGCGTCTTCTCGAACCGGCATTATCCCTGATATGGGTATGTAACGAATCTACTGAAGCAGTGATGGTGGTACAGCAGAAACTAGTTGACCGGCAGGCCTAACTTCCCATGATCACATCATCGCATGGAAAACACCTGTGATAAGCTTTACACCCCAGCTCAGCCTAGGCACAAGCACCATCTCCCCCACTGGGCTGCATCACAGAAAGCTGCAGATGGGAAAGGAAATTCTGGCTTTACCTACCCCAGACTTTAGGCAGCATGCTGACGAGTCCCTAGTCCTTTCTCCTCGCTCCAGACTCTGCCTGCTGACTGCTTAGGGGTCAGTTGTCTGTAAGCTGGTGTTTTCGGGGGGTTTTGTTGCGTACAAGGTGGCTCTCTGTGCCCATTCCCTCTGCGTTTCATCACTGAGTGTTGTTACCTAAAATAAAGCCTTTCCTCTTTCGCGCTGGGCTTCGGCATGTGCATTAAATCATTGATGGCCACCAGCATGCCCAAGCGTGTGACCTCTCCTCCCCACACGGGACTGGGGTGCTGCCTTTAAAAGCAAATGTTGTTACCATTCATGGCACAGCACCAAAATGCTCCCTTAAGGCTTCCCTCAAGCAAACACCGTCACAGTAGGCTCTACTTACTCCCTTGCCCTTTGCATCTGGCTGCTCAGAATCAGCAGGCAGCCTGTCCACTTCCACCTGTCGCCCTACGAGCAGGGGTTCCCCGCTAGCCTTTGAAATACTGCTACTGCTTGCTGAATGATGAAGATCTGTGGCTTGCTGAGGTCAGGCCTTGCCAGGAGATACTTCCCATGCCCCATCTTGTGCCCAGAAGCACACTCGACTGTCAGCCTGCATCCACTCAGCTTCTTGGACAGGCCCTAGTGCCCGAATTTGCAAGCATCAGTTTTCCTAACCAGCCCCGCTCCCATGAGTGACCGGTTTCTGTGTCACTGGAGACTTAGTCCTTTTTCTGATGCATTTGGAGGCCAGAGGAAAGAAAGTGCAGGGGAGAAGAGGAATAAGCATCTTGCCTGTTGGCTTCCCCTGACTCCCTTGAACCCTTCATGTATTGTCTCAGCATAGCTCAGGGAGAGCCCTTCTCAGGAAGATGCCTCTGCACAGCTTGGTGACGCTGGTCACAACTGTGGATCCTGCCCCCCAAGCTGGTTTTTCATAGAGTGGTAACTACCCACCACAGTGCAATCACCACCCTCTCTCGACACATGGAGCTGGTCTCATTCTTTCGCTGGGACACTGGAGGGGAAGGATAAGTTTGGTACCGCTGCTGTCACATGCCAAAGGCTACATCTCTGCAGTTTTGGAGCTGGCGATGTTCGTGGCAATGTGGTCCCACTATTTAGATAAGCTAGGTGTATTCGGACTGGTCGGGCCTGATGAAGTTCGCTTTCCCGAACCCTTAGTGATCAACAGGAATCCAGGTTTTCTGTTTCCTGCAGAAAAATGTGCATTTTTCCCATTTAAAGGAAAAGAATGTGGTTTTTCCCTGTTTGGAGTGGAGGAATCTGTGGGTTTCTCCTTGTGCAAAGATCTCTCTGCAAACCGGCAAAGTCCCAGCCTGCAAGAGCTTCTTGCAAAAAGGGCAGGAAACCCTAAGCCCTGCCCGGAGAGGGGAGGGAACAAGGCCTGAGAATCTGAGTCAGCCAGGGTTTGGCTCAGGGTCACTTTCCCTCCTGAAGCCTTTGGAGTAAGTAAAGCTTGCTGGGGACAGGGGTAGGGTTGCTGTGGGTTGGGAACAAGGGGCACCAGTATGGCTGGGGGGTCGAGGGAGGCTGGGGGTCAGGTGTGGGTGACACTGTCAGGGCTTGGGGAGTGGAGTGGGGGCTGCAGAGAGAAGCAGCAGGGCTGGCAGGGGCAAGGCAGGGCTGTGTGGGTGGGGGCTGGAGTAGCAGGGTGGGGGGCAGTCTGTAGGCGCTGAGGCCTACAGGGAGAACCCAGGCAGCATCACTACTCCAGGACCCAGGTGCACCATGCCCTGATGGGGGTAGAGATGGACAGGTAGGCAGGGTCCTTTGCTTGCGTGCTGGCAGTGTCAACCGGGGCACCTACCCTGCAGCCCACGCCCATGAGGAGGCGGCGGTGGCCCATGATAAAAAACAAAACCAAAATCAAATGCCAAAATATATAGGTATTTAGAACTTATTATATTATAATGATTGAAGCTTCCAAATTGTTTAAAAGCTGCAAATAAAACCTAGCGTTCAGCTGATATACACATATAATGGTATTTCATTTTAATCGCGCACAAACATGGAATTGGGCAGGGGGTCGGGGGGTCAAATCAGAGTATTTGTGATTTTTAAATAGAGAAAACCAGGATCCCTTGTGATCAACTTCAGTTTTGGGCAGTGCACTTTAAGAGCAATGTAAACAAATTGGAGAGAGTCCTGAGGGAAGGCAAAAGTTTTGGACAACTTCTAGGGAATGAACGGCTTGAAGGAATTGGGTTTATTTAGTCTAGAGCGGTGGCACTCAACCTGCCAGTCCCACAGGTTGATGAGTGGCACAGGGTCAGTCTGCCAGCCAGATCCAGCACAGGGTAGGTCTGCGGGTAGGATCTGGGGCTGACCCTGTGCTGCTGGATCTTGTCACATGCAGACCCAATCACTGCATGCCTAGATCTGGCTGCATGCTAGTCCAACCCCATGCACCTGGATCCATCTGCGTGCTGGTGTAGCCCCGCACACCGGCCTTATGGAGCACCAGCATGATTTAGTACACAGAACCACATCATCCAGCCCACAGGGCTCCCCACAGGCCCAGAAATTTGGCAGCAGGGGAGCGGCAGTTAACACTTCCTCCGCTCTCCTGCCACCAAATTTCCAGACCTGTAGAAAGCACCATGGGCCGGCTGACACAGCTGCATGGTCCAGAGCTTGAGCACTGCATCTCTAGAGAACAAAGGACTAAGATGAAACATAAGTCATGCAGTATTGAAAAGGTTGTTACAAAGAGGTGGTGACCACATCCATTGGGGGAAGGACAAGAAGAAATCAGCTTTTTCTCCAGAAAAGACGGTTTTAAAGCACAGGTTAGAAATAGGTCTGTCTAGGATAGTCTAGATGGTCCTGCCTCAGTGCAAGGGCCAGAGCTAGATGGTCTCTTGATGTCCCTTCCAGTTCTTTGATTTTGTGAAATAATAATATGGTCTTGAAATACAGCCAAAGTATAAGGTCCTGCAGACATTTGCCTCTAAACAACTTGTACTTTAGTGGATTTTAATATAGGTAACGGCATAACCTATGCAGATTTTTAATTAAATCAACACCACTGGTGTGTCTGAATAAATAATCCATTCGAAGATTAAACCTGCCATCTGTCTTTGTCTGGACAGGAAGTGTTACAGGTATGTATCCTACAGTTCCTTCCTGCACCTTTGTTACAAGATCAGTCACCCGATTCTTTAAAATAGGTGGAAGTGTTTTGCGTGTCTATATTTTCGAAAGAAATACAAGGGAAAGGCTATATCAAATGGTGGGCCTAAGAACAAGGCCATTGGTATTTCAAGATGTGTGAAGGCAGTAATAGCTGTGGTACTCACGAAGTGCGTGTGTGACCTTGCAGAAACGGCTGCTCGTCATGTTCCTGGGAGCTAGATAACGATCCTGTTTTATGGATGTGGGAACCAACACGCACAGTGAGGTGTAAAGCAACTCAACTGAAATCATACAGCAAGTCATTGTCCAGCGCTAGGATTAGAACATAGGATTTTCAGACTCTCGAGGTCCATGTTTAATTCAGTAAACACACAGCCTCTATGAACAGCCTGTTTCAAGTATGGTAACTTCCTAGGCCCTAAATGCTGTGGCTGCAAGTGGGAGAGGAACAGTGGAAAAACCCTGGTCACGCCCCCCCACCCCCCCGTTCTCTCTCCCTTTCAGCATCTATCCTCTGCTAGTGCGTGGCACAGTGACTGGACAAGATGCACCTACGATTTGACCCGGTAAATGGCAGCTCTTATGTTCTCATGTTTTCTCTTTTGCCATTTGCACAGTTGAGAGAAGAAAAATTACAAGAGGAGAAAACTTCAGAGGATCTGATCCACAAGCTAATTCTGGAAGACATGGAAGTGGGAAAAAGAAAAATGGAAGAGCAAAAAAAAGAGGAACCACTGATGCTTAAAATGAATCAGGAATGCGTAAGTACCCAGATATAGCTCTGCATTGTCAGGACCCAGTCCTGGGGCAGTAACTTTTCTAGGCACAAAAGTTGCTTACTTTAAAGTCCAGTATTTGCCACTCCTACACTGCTGACACTTGGACTTCTATACCCTTAGAAAAGAGAACTTCATAGCAGAATTGCCTTACTTCTTTCTACCCCTGAAGGGACTGGAGACAGTAGCCCGAGTTCAGCTATGATACTACAGAATAGAAATATATTCTGTAAACCATACCATCCTATCTTTTTTCCCCCTCATATGTATTTCTGTAAATACAATTCTCTATTTCTCTACCTACCTCAGGTATATATGATTCCTCTGAGCCTTGGCCCTTTGGACTTCATAGTAGCTAAAGGAATGCAAGAAATAATGCCTTTTAAAAGCATTCCTAAAGTAGCATTTTTTTGTAATCCTAGCAACATATAATGAATACAGGTGAAAATATTGGACCAGCTCCTCACTTGGCTACTCTTGTAGCTCCAGTAATAGTGGATCTGTGACCATTAACGCCAGCTGGAAAATCATTCTGTTCTCTGCACGTCACTTGTAACCGCCACATGGACTTCTGGGGGTTTTGAAATGTAATAAAAAAATTTGTTTCCCAAGTGACTCATTTTGTGTGTGTGTGTGTCAGCTAATTCTTCCTTGATTAACTTCAGTTTCCTGAACGACTCTCGGACTCGGAGAATGAGGAACCTTTCCAGGGCAAACAAATGCATCGGTCAGCTTTTGTGTCCAAGGGCAGCGCTTATTCCTTTCCTTTCTTTTCAGGGTAAGAAGTTGGGGGCTCGGTACAAACTGATTAATGTCCATGACAAACCTAAATATTGTTCATGATCATTTCGTTGTTGTGAACATCCCGGAGGTGCTGAAAATCTCACTCAAACAGCTGTCATAACCCAAAATTAGCTGTGGCTATTTTCAAGTTGGAGACCATGAGACTGGAATTATGGGGGAAAAATAAGCTCTGTTTGTCTTGTAGCTGCCACACAATTCTCAGGGGGTTAATCCTTGGCAGGATTTATTCTAGAGCTTGTTAAACTTGTCATCTTCGTTGTTCGCACTTCACGATGACCTATGTGGTAGCTTCATCCATAACACTATTATTTAAACCACCCTCACAAACACCCCCTAATGTCCTCTGCCTCATAACTTAGTTTTACACTGTGATGCAAGGAGTAAAGAGAAACAAGTTAAGGAGCACTAGGATGAGAGAGGACAAGGGGCTTTCATAATGTCATGCAGTGACTGAGGGGGTAATGTGCCACAAGCCCTGGGTGTGGGGCAAGGTGTAGTGCCCCAAGAAGCAGACTGATGTGTAGTGCCAGGCCCAAAGAAAGCACCTGAAACAAGACACAAGGACTGAAATTATAGCTGAGAACAAACCTGCTCGGCTTACAACCATCCCTGGACGTACCTAACCTTGTTAGGGTCCTTCCTGCTTGACAGGGAGTGCCCTCAGTTGCCCGCAGTTGTTCCTGTGCCCCAGCCCAAGCAGTTAGATACCCAGTTCCTGCCTCGGCCCCAGTGGGCTCCAGAAACTAGGCAGATCCATCCCCACAGGGGTCTGGTCCAGCATGCGTACACAGACCATGTCTAATGTACCCTCTCAAAGCAGACGCCTAGCTGCTTTCTTTCTAAAGGCAGTGAGCAGTGCCAAGGCTATTGCTTGGCTTCACGGATTTGCATTTGCTAAATAAAATAAATTAAGAGCCTGGTGATTAGAGCATTTGCCTGAGAAATGGGGAGCCTAGTTCAAAGCTAGATCTCCCAATCCACCAGACACTGCACTAACCACCAGCCTGAAGCCTGAGCTTTGGATGCCATCCTTCCTATTAAAGCTGTGCCGTTGTGCAGAAAGGACTGTAGCTGGCTCTCCGTGCTCTGACCACGAGGCTCTTAAAAGGTGGGGCTACCACCACCAGTTCCTCTTCTGCTTCCTCCAGCCACGTTTCAAAAGGCAACAGTGAGTCCCGCTCAGTTCCTCCAAAGGAGAAGCACGGAAGTGCCAGCCTGCAGCCCTGATACAAGCCCCAGATGCACCCCAGTGCTTAGTTTGGCTGGCATTGCTCAGTGTGTGGGTGCTTTGGGATCACCCTTCTGCAGCACCTTTGTCCCCCCCTTGCTCTGTATGGGGAGCCCAGGTGCCTAACAGTGGGTTCTGGGTCCTGTTCTTGAGGACACTTAAGTTAGACACCTACGTCTTTTATGTGCTAGAGCGCCCAGTCAGTCTGCCTCCCGATTCTCCTTACCCCAACGTGGGGGGTCTCCTGGGCCAGCTCAGTTCTGCCAAGGCAGGGACCTCCGCCCCACACAGTGCGAGTGGCTGTTGCTGGTGTCACTATTGTGTTGCTTTTAAGTGAATACCCAAGTTGAATGTGTTACTCATCCCTGCTTTCTAGGAGCCTCACCTCCAAGGTGGAGAGGAGTCAGAGCTGCAACGACACCCTCCAAGATCGATCAAAGAGCAGGCAGCGGGCAGCTCCAGCCAGCAAAACAAAGGTACCGGCTGAAACTGGAAGCGCGTCACGTTCCCTGGGGCAGATGTTCACATGTAGGGCGGCTGGTAAAGACACCACCACGCTGGTCATTTAGAAATGGAAACTACCGAGTTCTGTCAATGGAGGTGTTAGCTCTGGGTGATTGATCAGACCCTGCCAGAGGAGCTGATATTGGAAAAAACAGACAATGCTTAGGCTTTTTCCTTTTTTAGCCTTGCATCCTATGGTAACTGAGTCAAAAGGCTCCTTTTTTGTGAATTTTTTTTTCCAAGCTGATTCCTTGACTGTTTAAACCAATGGACCCTCCTCAGAGCCTTGAAAGAAATCTTCCAGCCCCACCCAAACTTTTTTTCTGTCTGCGTTTTGGAAAATAATTACTTCCCCCGCCCCTAGACACACCAGTCCCTGTCAAGTTGTTTTTCAAACGAAGCAAAAATGATCACTGTTGGCCTGGCCTTTGCTTCTCTGCCTGTGCGCTGGTAGCACAGGTCTACGAAGAGCATGTCCAGTCTGGCTTTTTGGAAAAACCATGGGGCCCAGTGTTTAATTGAAAGGAAGTGACTGGCCTGCTTTGCAGGGACACTGTGTGCCCACAGTGCATACGGGCTTTGGTAGGAGTCGTGGTTCCTAAGCACATCTGGAGGGTTTTCAGGTAATGTTCCAGCCCATGTAGGGAGTTGCTCCTGCTGTTTCTGGAAGCAGTTTGTGGAAGTGTTTCCCTTAAGAAACGGGTTTCTTAGTCCCTAAAACCTTTGTCAGCACCATCGACTCCAGTACTTGCCCTCTCTGACAGAAGCCATGCTAGTCAGTCATTCTTTCTCTGTTTCTGACTCCTTTACTAATCTTCATCTACGGGGCCATTTCTGCCTCCTCCTAATCATGCCTCTGGCCAGCGGGATCCCAGTGGTTTGCAACGACAGCAGCAGCTTTCCCACGTGCATACGGTGTGGTCTGGTCTGTGCTGCCCGGCGTTGACTCTCCCGCAGCAGGTGTGATCCCTGCCGATTCAGTCCGTGCTGCTTAGCCCACTCGCACCCAGTACCTGGTGCCTTGTGTCCACATGCAAAGGCCCAGCCCAGTCAAGGTAGGAGATGTGGGGGATGTGGCATGCTTCAGTGTCAGGGCCTGCCTAGCAGATCTGCAGCCCTTCATCTCTTCTCCTTCCCTCCCCCTGCTCTCTGCTGAGCCTTCCTGCATGGGGGTGGGGTGTCCTCTACAGCCGTGGACCGAGCCCTTTGTTCCAGAGCCTTCTTTCCTCCAACTGCACGTCAGGGTCTTGACCTCCACTGATTGAAGCGGTACCTCAACTTCCCTCCATACCTCCCTGCCCAGCCAGCGATCCTCACTAAATCAGTCTCCATGCAACCTTCACAACTCATCTTGGATCAGGGCAATGTCCCTGTCCTCCCCACATCAGCTCCCTCCCTTACTGGGACCTTCCACTTGGTGCAGTTAAATCCCCTCTTCTTCAGCCTCTACTTCATCCCCTGCAAGTGATATCCAACCATGCAAAACATCCAGTCAGTGTAGGAAGCCTGAGGAGTCCCTTGGAGTGCCAGCATGGTTGGGAAGCAGAAGGCGATGAGGACGGTCCTCACTCAGCCATACTTGGGTGACCCAAATGGTGTGGGTGACGAGATTCAAAGGACTGCCAGCTTTCCTGAGGTTGCAGTCATGGCCCCTGGTCTGGGAAAAGGTCCATCTCAAAGGGCCCAAGCCAGGTCCCATTGAGGTTGACGGGATCCATTGCAGACTCCACTATTGCTTTGAATGCCATCAGCTGAAATGGCTTTGTGTTCAGATAATGCACAGGGGATTGATTATTTTACTGGTCCTGCTGTGTCCTTCAGACAACCTTTCCACTTTTTGCAATTGAGGAGTTAAAGCCTGGGTCTAATACTTATTCTTTTCCACCCCTGTCAGTCAGCTGATGGAAAGAAAACCTTTCTGTTTATCTGCTTTCAGCAGCGGCCCCTTGCCGAACAATCCTGCTGCTGGTTGGTGTATGCCCGTGGTTCTCGGGCCCTTATTTGTTCCATTGCTTCAAGCATTTCGCCACTAGTATGGCCAGCCAGCTTCCCCTACTTGGGGAGAAACAAGCATATCCTAATGCTGTAGATGAATGTGGGGTTTAGTGCATCATGATCAGCCCTTTAATGTGCTCCAGCCTGCTCTGGTTGCCAAGTCTGCTTCAGACTACCAGAGCTGGACTTGTTGTGGTGTCATAAGCTGCCTTCCAGATTCGTGTGCACGCAGCTGAGAGGCCGGCAGGCAGGATCTCGGGGGCTAGGAGAGAGGCTAGATTTTGTGCCCATTGTTAAAGTGGGGGGGGGGGGAAGAAAGTTGCTGGCTGGAGCCAAACAAGGTGTTTGAAGCTGGCTGGTACAACAGGTATCTTGATCTGATACACGGGTGCAGTGGTTACTGTGCTTGTGTTCTTACTCCAGTCCCTCTCTTTCCACCCCTCTGCGACCATGAGCTTTCTAACCTCGATGACTTGTCCTGCAGGTCATGTCGGCAACCAGTACATCCACGCCTATCGGAGTACTGTTATCCACCCAAAACAATCGCTGCCTCTCCGCTCCCGATCTGACTGCAGAGAAACGTCTGACTTTCAACTCGGCTTCCTCGCTGTCCACACTGCACAAACCGGAGCGCTCCATCAGCCCCGAGAGCAACGACAGCATCTCGGAGGAGCTCAATCATTTCAAACCCATCGTCTGCTCGCCGTGCACCCCTCCAAAGCGACTTCCTGATGGCCGCGTCCTGAGTCCTTTGATCATTAAGTCAACTCCAAGGAACCTCAGCCGGAGCCTGCAGAAACCAACCACCTATGAAGCAAGCCCCAGGATCCTGAAAAAATGGGAGCAGATCTTTCAGGAGCGCCAGATCAAAAAGACTCTCTCTAAAGCCACCCTGACATCTCTGGCTTCAGAGACCGGGGAGGACTTCCTGGTCCCTGATATTGCAAACTCCCTTCATTCCAGCAAAGAGCACCCACGAATGTTAAATGATCAAGTCCCCCCTGACACCGCCACAGACAGTAACATGGAGATAGATTATTCCCCCTCTATCAGCAAAGGCAAGCCAGAAGGGGCTAGTGACAAGAAAAGAGGTTCACAGACCTTAACAGTAGACAACAGTTCCTGTGAACCTAACACAAGAACAAACAGAGCCTCTCTGAATGCTCAAGACACGGTCGATGTCAAAGCAAATTCCTACACGGACAAATCTTGTCTTAGCGTTGGCGCAAAAATAATGACCAGAAGAATCATTGGAGCCAACCCAGCACCACCAGACAGTAGCCCAGGGGGAGTTCTGGTCAAGACGGCAGGGAAAAAGCAGCTGAAATACCTGAACAATAGTGAATTAATTAATGTGCAGAATGGTACCTGCAACTCTGTTGAAAATGTCAGCAGTGAACAGCCCCCTTCGCTGCGCCGGGGCCGGAAGAGATGTTGTAAAACAAAGCACTTGGAACAGAATGGGTCTGTTAAAAGACTGAGGCAGACAGCTGGCGAGATGGGCTTGGCCGTCGACAATCCCCTGGTGAGGGAGATGGAGCAGAAATTGCAACAGGAGGAGGAGGACCGGCGGCTGGCTTTGCAGCTGCAGCAAATTTTTGACAGCGAGAACAGGACAGTGGATAGGAGGAAAGGAAGAGTGGATCAGTATCTCTTGCGGTCAAAGAGCACTACGGGTGCGAAGTAGCACTTAGCGGACGATGTTGCCTTTTCTAGAGGACATGAGGTTTTGAAAAAGCCTATAGGAAAAAACTATTTTCTTATCATACTTCCACCTGCAAAATTGTTTCTCATTTTTAATGGTAAAACACTTGAGGTCCAGTTCAAGTAGAAGCTGGGGTCCTTGCAAGTTACACACGCACACACTCATCTGCCTTGTATATTCCCTCAGTCTAGAAGAGAAGTCTTGATCTCACCATGCACACACTGAAATGCACTTAAATGTGGTCGCTGACATTTCTAAGTTAAGACTAAAAGCGGGCATTTTTTTACTAAAGCCATGACACCAGCAGTTTCTGAGCGAGCGGTAAGAACATAGAAAATAAGGTGAAAGAGACCTCAAGAGGTCACATCTAGATTCATAGATCTAGTCCAACCCCTGCTCAAAGCAGGACCAGCCCCAACTACATCATCCCAGCCAAGGCTTTGTCTACCCGGGTCTTGAAAGCCTCCAAGGATGGAGATGCCACCATCTCTCTAGGTAACCTGTTCCAGTGTTTTACTACCCTCCTCATGAGAGAGTGTTTCCTAAAATACAACTTAAACTTCCCTTGCTGCAACTGGAGACCATTTCTCTTTGTTTTGTCATCTCCCCCACTGAGAATGGTCCAGCTCCGTCCTCTTTGCAACCCCCTGCAGGCTGCTATTAAATCCCCTCTCAGTCTTCTTCTCCAGTAAGCCCACTTTCCTCAGCCTTTCCTCACAAGTCGTGGGCTCCAGTCCTGGAACCACTTTCATTGCCCTCCACTGGACTCTCTCCAATTTGTCCACATACTATCTGTAAGGGGGAGGGGAGGGGCTCAAAGCTGGACACAGTACTCCAGATGTGGCCTCCCCAGTGCTGAATAGAGGGGAAGAATCGCTGCCCTCCAGCTGCTGGCACCGCTCCTACCAATGCAGCCCAGCATGCTACTCACAACGAGGGCACACTGCTGGCTCCTATTCATCTTCTTGTCCACTGTCACCCCCAGGTCCTTTTCTGCAGAGCTGCTGCCAAGCCA